ATGACTGGGCAGTACTTGGCAAACCCATTAGATATGATTCCATCAATTCAGTCTTCGCCTTGGCTTCAGATCAGATCCTTCCAGCCCCTACCAGCTCAATAGATAGAAACAGCATGGGACCTCATTTTTTGGAAGCTAGTTCTGAATGATGAGCCCAAGCACCAGCTTTCAAAGCCAACTGGCAAGAATAGAATATGTGGGCAAGATGGATCTATTTGAGAACCTTGTTTAACAAAAAGAAAATACCAGCTTTGAAATAATCTGTCACCTTTACTGGAAAATATGCAACTACAAATGCACTTTAATAACAGTTAGAACTCACTCTGCGAAATGAAGCAAATTGCTTATTTTCTCTTACAGCCTAAAGCATACAATACCGTGCATGTCAATTAACGGTCTACTTGAATACTGCATTGCACGAATGCTACAGAATAGTATAGTCTTTAAAATCCTCAGGGGGTGGGGAGGGATAGGGGGTGAAGAATAAAAGACAGCCCAAACCTGTGGGATTTTATCCTCAAAGTCTACACGGACTGTTCTCTGATAACATGGTATGAAAAAAAAAAAATACTGATTCTGAATTTGAATTAGGAAGAAGTAGCAAGTAGGTGAGAATGAATTGCACTGAAAGCTGGAATTTATTCCTCTGCTACGACAGAGTTTCAAGGTGGAAAATAAGAGCACATTTTCCTACAACTGATACTGGGAAGTTCTGGACCTTAAAATCTTCATCCATATCAACAAGCACTCTTTGTTAAAATAACTCTTTCTTGCTTTGGAGTAAGAGAAGGATTTTTTTTTTTGTTGTTTTTTTTTTTTGTTTGTTTGTTTTTTAAAACATGCAATCATTACAGATTATGGACTAAAAGGCAAAACCCAAATACTGATGAAAATTGATTTTAAATTAATTGAATCACCTGTTCACCTCTAGATTATGTTAATTCTGTAAAACCACCCTAATTCTTCCCTATCTTTACTATGATCTGGATCTAACATAACGCCTTTGAGGCTGAAATAGAGAACAGAGACAGTTTCACTGTACCTACAGCACATCAAAGTTGCAACACTCTCCATAAACCAGGTTTATATGAGGGCATTTGTACACAGGGAAAAGTGACCAACAAAATCATCATTACAATGTGAACATATGCCACTTCCCTGCAGTAGAGCTTATTTGACTCCTAAACAAGACACTCCTGCCCCTGTTCTAGATGCTTCCTCACAATGGAAATAAATGTCGTACTTTAACTGAAACGTGTTTTTCTAACACTTGTGTGCTAATACACTAAAAATCTTTGCCAGTTTAGCTATTTCTGGGCAGCTAACCCAAAACCCCCCTGCCACAACAGATGCATTCCTGAGAGGTAAAGGAGTTCCCAGACAGTGTGGAAGAGGGGGACACATATTAGAGGTTGCACCCATACAGCTTAATAAATGGTTCAATGCTATAAATCCCCGTTTTTAGAGCAAGATACCACTCATTTGCTTGTCTGCACAGTTGTAATTTCTGAAATATTCATCAGAGTTACTGAGGGTACACCTGCAGCTTTCTGATGCTGGAAGTGCTGTAGGCACCACTGAGATAATTCGGATATTTGTAGCTACTTGGCTTCTCATTTAAAAGGACCATGCCGGTTGAAAATTGAAGTCTGCAAGTGTGTTCAGTACAGCAAAAATTAAAAAGCCCACCCAAAAGGGTGATCCACTTGGCTAGAGGAGAGGGGAGAGAAGAAGCTTTCAGTATCAACAAAAGTTAACCTACACCCTAAACACCAAGACGGAGCAATTCCAAATGGCTGCTAGAAACACATTGTTAGGACACTATAGGACCTTTGGCCTAAACTAACACTACATTTGAGCAGCTGCTAACCAGCTGAACTGCCATACAGTCTTAGAAGACACTATCTACTCTTTTACCTGTAAGCAAAGGAAGGGTTTGACACAATTTTGGTTAGCTGACCCCTTTTCTTCTCCACCCCCAGAAGATTTCAGCTTCTAGTTAAGAATTGTCTAGAAGGTATTTTCATGCAGCAGGAGCTGCAGTTACTGACAGAGTTTCTCAGCCTCCAAAAGCAGCAATCTCACAGAAATGCTGTCACAGGCACTGTTTTATTCTGATTTATGTCCCCTTCATTCAGTGCTCTCCTTCCTTTCCAGACAGTTACCTGTCCAACTGTACCAGACTCACAGTTGCAGGCAGCAGAGGGGAAAGTGATGCTGGAGGGGCTCTGCCTCCCAGCAAGTACCTCCAGGGCAGAAGTTAACCTGCTGACAAATACCACGGACACTGGATAACTGAAAAGAATACAAGGAAATTTGCAGAACATTGGTGGGAGGGAGAAAGGGAGAATTAAGCTAGGAGGAGCAAACTGGCTTGCTTTGATGTCTGAGGAAAGTAGGTGAGGCAAGAGGAAGAGCTCTGCCTCTCTCCCTGCCTCCAAAATAAACAAAGGCTTAGGGCTCTCTGGAGGAGGAAGCAGTAACCTAATAAAAACTAAACCATCTGGGTTCTGTGGCAATTGATCTAAAACCCATGGACAGCATAAGATGATTGGGGATGAGGGGAAGTCTAAAGTATTTTTAATCCCTCTATACTGGATCTGCAACCTTCAGGACCACACAGAGAAACAGAGTTGCTCCTCATCTGCATTAGCTTTCAGAGTTAAAATCCTGGAGGAGATCAGGGGCATTTATTCTTACAGCTCTTTATAATGTACATGGCTCCAAAGGCTCCCAGGCAGGATGCAAGGAGAGGCAAACCACCTTTAGAACTCCTGCTAAAGGGGAAGATCTTTAACGTAAAACCAAGCCTGTGAGAAAACTTAAACTGTATTCCTACCTGGGAATTATCAATAAAGTTAAATGCAAAGAGAAGAGCTGGCCACTAAATCAGGATCTGTGTGCTTTTCTGAGGACAGGAGTTCCATTTGCAGCTATTTCCAAATTTTAATTTAAATTGTAAGAGGTAATGGCTAAGCACTACATAACTTCCATTACTAAAATATCCAAGTGAGATAATATCCCAGCATTTCATATAAACACACACTTTCCACTTCAGGTAAATCTGCAGTTTGAGGGTTTCAGGTCTGGATTTTAATGGGTTTTGTAAAAACAGAATTACGAAGAAAACTTTGGAAATTATAACAAGTATTTTTGCCAGAAGCAACAGTAACCTTTAAAATAAACCATTTAGTATTTTATGCATCTATTGTTTTAAAAGTATCATCAGCTTGGTATTTAAGAAAGCATGCCCACAGCAGAAGACAAAAGAGGAACCAATTCTGCCTCATTTCCCATCTTACGGAAAAGTTTCAAGTTACATCAATGTAGTTATTATTTTTTTGTTGTTCTTTTCTGATGTATTAATGCAAGAACTAATAGCCAGCTATAGATGAGAAGGCTGCTGATCTTGTACTTGCAGCTGGACAAAATGTGAAAGAAACTGGATTTAACCTCTGATTCTGCCTTTTGCTGTTCACAGCCTAAACAACTGGTTCAGAAGGCTGATTCTAGTTTTGAGTAGCTCAGCCTTAGGAGCCTTGCTTCAGAACTAGCATCAGTTTACCTCCCTATAATATAGGAATATCCTCATAATAAAAGATTACCCTTAAGGATAATCACGACTTTCTGTCAGTTAGCTACTCAAGAATATGCGAAAGCTAAAGAAGCCAATAAATAATGAAAAGGACTACACAGTGAGTGCTCTCTAGCATGAACCAAATAACTAATTTAAAAGATTATTTACAATTTGTTTTTATATTGGCAACTCTCAATGATAGGCACAAAAAGGAATAAAAATGCATTTTTAAAGGATAATTTTTAATTTGA